CTGCATAATCACGTCTTCTTCTTGTTGGAGTTTATAAGTATTTCTTTATTATTCTTTAAAATGTCAATCAGATAATCTGGTTAATGTAAACATTAGCCAGAATACCTGGTTGATGTATACATTTCAAATACATTTTTTTTTTTTTATTTCATGTTTTATTTCCATCTGTAATAACATATGCTGTAAATATATGTTTTCAATTTCATACCTTTCAAAATAAAATGTCAGGCTTGGTATCTAAAACAGTCATTACACATGTCCCATGAGATTAATGAAAAACTTTACCTTGAAACCTTATCTATCAGTATGGATGTAAAAACCTCCAAGTTCAATTTAACTCAAGTGTTCAAAAACTTCAAGAAAAAAGCCCAAATAAGTGACTATGTATGTAATATAAAAGAAATGTTAATATTCATAATTTTCTTTCTTTTTCATTTTTTTTATTCTATGTTTAATATTTGGAATATAAGTTACTGAATTGGAAAAATATCTAAGACTTAATTTATATCGGTAATAAAATTAAAAACTCGTAAATTAATTCATGCAATGCATTCCAGAAAGTAACAACCCCAAAATTTAGCATCTTCTAAAATCAGTATTACATTAGACTGATAAAATTAAATTTTTTAAAGCCAAATACTTCCAAAAAAGTTAAGGGTAACTTGATAGAATATTTCACACTTTTGTTTTCCTTTTTTTTTTAACTTGGCTTATTCATACTTTCTGAGAAACAACCTGTTGTTGCTTTTTATCATTTGTAGGCTATGATCATTTAGTTTAACATGACTAAATAATTTTTGATATTCCATCTTACAGCACCTGTAGTGACATGATTCTCTTTTTTTTTTTTCTAGGCCTTTCGTGATGCCCAACCTCATCCCTCCTAAGATCCCAGATGGTGAGAGGGTGGATTTTGATGTGAGTACCACACATTTATTTTCTATTTAAACTTCTTGTTTTTAATATAACTTTTTTCTTATTTTAAAGCAGATGAATATTTGTTAGTTGTTATATTCAAGTATCGTATCTTTCTGATTGTGTGTTTCTGTAGGACATACACCGCAAGAGGATGGAGAAGGATCTAATGGAGCTTCAGACTTTGATTGAGGTTCACTTTGAAAGCAGAAAGAAGGAAGAAGAGGAACTCATTAGTCTCAAAGAAAGAATTGTGCGTGCTTTGATCAGTTAGGTAGAAGCTGAATCAATCCAAACATGTAACAATAGTGGCAACGTACTATTATCGGTTTCAGGAGAAACGCCGATCTGAGCGAGCAGAGCAGCACAGGATCCGCAGTGAGCGAGACAAAGAACGACAGAAACGACTTGAGGTATTCCTGTGTGTTGATAGACCTTTTACTAGGGATGTCCTGATCCAATATTGATATAGGATGTCGGTCTGATAATAGCCAAAAAAATCCATATTGGAATGCATTGGCCCACATCTAAACTCCCTCCTAGAAATAATTTGCTTCTATCCAATTTGCTTAAAGTTTATGTAACTCTGTGGTGAATGAGAAATGGGTAATTTGTTCTCACACCTGATGTTATTTTTCTTTAAGAAACATCACTGGATTAAACCTTTAATTTATTATAAAATAAGTAATAAAATAGGACCTGTCATTCTGATATCCTATTGGGACAATATCAATTTTGGTCAAAACTCAAAGCTGCAATATTTGGATTGTATCAGGAATGAAAAAGTCTTATGACGCCCTTACCTTTTACCATTTTTTTTTTTTACTACTGATTATTTTAATTGCTTTATTATTTTTGTTTTTTTTGCAGGACGAGAGAGCTCGTAAGGAGGAGGAAGAGGCTAAGAAGAGGGCAGAGGATGATGCAAAAAAGAAGAAAACTCTGACCAGCCTCCACTTTGGAGGCTACATGCAAAAGCTGGTGACTAAAGATGGGTTTTCAAAGAATGCCAGGATAGAAATCAACAGAGCTACTTAACTGTTTCGTTGTCACAGAATGAGAAGCGGAGTGGTAAGAGGCAGACTGAGAGAGAGAAGAAAAGGAAGATTTTGAATGACAGACGGAAATCTTTGGACATCGAGAATATGAGCCAAGAGAGACTCAAGTAGGTGGAGAAAATTTTAGCCACATCATTTGTTTTGTTCCCTCTTTTCATTATGACAAAGTGATGAAACAATTCCCAAAAGTACCAAACACAATCATATAACCCTACCTCACAGAGAGAAGGCCAAGGAGCTGTGGGAGTGGATGTACCAGCTGGAGGCAGAGAAGTTTGATCTGCAGTACCAATTTACCAGGCAGAAATATGAGGTCCATGTGTGCCTCAGGGTGCTATGGGTTATGCTCTGGTTATGCTATGGGTTATGTTAAACACATTGCCAAACTAACATTTGCTTGCTTTCTTTGTTCCAGATTAATGTGCTGAGAAATCGTGTGAGCGACCATCAGAAAACGTGAGAAACATTTCTCCTTTAATGCTGAATCTATTTGTCAGATAGAGACTCTGCCCGAATGTGTCAGCCCCCATGGGGGCTGACACATTTGCTTTGGATGCAGCGTCGGGCAAAAACAAATATCTTTAACATTTTAAAGACTTGTTTTACAGCCACAAACATTAGTGTACTTTGTTGGGACTTTATGTGATTAAAACCCCCAAAGTAATGCAATTGTGAAATAAAGAAAAATGTTATGTTTGAGAAGATTTGCGATGTGCAAAACTGCTAAATAAAATACAGTGTAACCAGGTGCTTTCAGAAATCATCCAATTAGCCCACCTATGTCAGATTTATGCTCAGATTAAAAACTTGCTGCCTCAGAGGTGGGTTGGAAAATATTAATACAGAAAGCCCCATGATGGCAGTAGGACACATAAGACAGGTCAGGCACAAAATAAGGAGAGGTACCATTATTTTATGGTGCTATATTCCTAAAGAACAATTGACACTGTAGTGTCAGTCTATTTCAACGTGGAATCACAGAGAATACCTGCAATTGTTTGTGCAATTGTCTCTGCAATCCCTCACAGTGAGCATGCCTGTAGCGACAGTGGAGAAGAAAACTCCTTTTAACAGGAAGAAACCTCCAGCAAGCTCAGTTAGAGCAAAAATCTGACGAGGCTGACTGATGTCAAGGTGATAGAAGCAGAAATACAGAAATAAGACTGTGAATTAAGTAACTTCTTTGGCACTCAGGACCCAGCAGAAGACTTTGATGGTGAGAATAAACCTGGGAAAAGAACTAGAGTAGTCTTCAGCCAGAGTACCGATACTAGTGGTGAAATAAGCAAGAGGGTGAGTGGGACTGAGAACAATCTGAGGGTGAGGGAGGAGATGGGGTGGAGGTCGGTGAAGGTTTGTTCACATATGGGAGAGCTAAGTGAGGCCAGGGGCTAAATGAAGAGGATTTTGAAAGATAATTGGATTCAGAAGAAGTTGGTCCAGAGGCTGATTGGCTGAAGCTGAACAAGGGACATTGCAGGTGGTTCAGGTGAAACTGATAAGAGTCTTTTTCCTTAAACTTCATTTTCCAATAACAGAACTTGTGCTGCACAACAGCAAACCTATGAGGAAATTGCCACACAGCTTAGCTGAAAAGCCCTTCTAAGAAGATAATTTACAAAGAAACAGAAGCTCTTTGTTATTCTGGAGAAGCTGCAGAGTTGAAGCAATTCAACCATAGCCAAGATGAAGGAATCTGTTCACACCACAGCTATTAGTCATCCCCTATGGAAATCCGTCTTTAATGGAAGAATGGCAAGAACATTTACTATAAGTCCCAATTGTAAATACAGTTAATCAGACAAAATATTCATTTGTGGGGGCTTAAAAAAATAATTTTTGTAGATTTTAATCTGTAAAAATGTTAATCTACATCATCTTACATTCACTTTAATCATTACATAAGTTATGATTTGGCAAACATAGAATACAATAAGATACACTGCAATTTGTGGCTGTAACATGGTAAAATGTAAAAAGGTTTTTAGGGTTTTACATAACAGCAAACACTGTTCTATAGCCTCCAAGGCATGACTGGGTGGAAACTTTTGCCTTGAGTACCCTGTGTAAACAAACAAGCTAAGCCGGAATCTTTACCTTATGACCTGTTGTTTGGTTTTCACAGATCCAAGAGAAGCAAGAGAGCTCTTAGGAAATAGATGACCTGCTCTACCGAGTGAGCTGCATATGTGTCCACTCAAAACTAGACTCCCCTTTGTCACCACTCCCAACCTACTCTTTCTCTTCAATACAACTCCTTACACTGTATTTCATATCATATACATCCATCTTTTTTCTCTTTCAAATGTATTTTCTATCTTTTCTTCTTTAGAAAAAGAAGCATTGCTTAGGTGTAAATAAAACCCTACATCATTTATCAGCTTGGGGCTTTTTTGTTCATGACAAGGGTCTGCAGGTGCATGTTTTCTTTCACTGAAACAGCAGGGAAATTAAAGAATGATTTAGGAAGCTGAAAACTATGTCGGGACTAGACGATTTTCCTGCTGTTAGACAGGCTAGGACATGAGTGGCACTGATGCATCTTGGACTAAAGCCCAAAGATCCACCCATTATTCCATCTCCCTCCACCATATACAGTTGGCAGAGAATGAATCATTCATATCCTTAATCTGGCTGGGAAAATCTTTTTAGAAGACGTTTCCCCTCCAACTACTTTCCAATGTATCAACTTTTAAAAAAAAAATGTTCGACTCATCTGCATTTTACAGTTACAAGTTTCTTATCATTTTATGCAGTTTCCTGAAAAAAAAAAACAAAACAAAAAAAACTGTGCACTCAAAAAAAACAAAGAAGTCTCCTATCTGTCTGACATACTTTTTCTCTTAGTCAGAGAAAGACATGCAGAAGCCAAAATACTCTGGAATGAGAGCCTGAGGCTTAATTAGTTGAAACTGAAAACAAATTCTATTCAACTAAAAACATACAGGTTAAATATGATCATACAGGCACTGAATTTGTAAATATTTCATAAATATCCTCAAAGAAACAGAGAGCCTCGCTTCACAATGTCGTCTGCATAGCTGTTTATTAGTGCATATATGAACTGATTGGAAACTGTTAAAATAAAATGCAAAACATACAGTTCTCAATAAAAATACATTCCAAGAAAATAAAAAATACTGAAGGTGATTGACCCTAAAGTAGAGAACCCTCTTATAGCAGAGAATAAAAATGTCCACCATCTATTACTTTGGATTGATGGGAAAAATCTTAACCACCTCACATCAAGGCTCAGATTTATTTTTTGTTTGTTTTGCAATTACACTAACAGAAGCAGATTTTTTTTTTTCTTTAAATAAAAAGGCATTAATTCTGGTGGGAAATCATATGCCCTTTCATTAGCCGCCAATGCTGTAAGGTTGCAAGAAAGATAAAGAACACGTGTTGGACCCAAAAAAAATAAAAAGAACTTGTCTAACTGTGCTACTTTCTTCCAAGTATTTAGGCTGAGTTCATAATTCATTATCATTACATAAATGGCACAGGGTTTTAATTTTCACATCAGTCTTTAGCTGAAAAGATCAAAGCAGAGCCTCCAACACTAACGACTCCACCCACTGTCAATCAGTTGCTGACAGGCCTGAAAATTTACTATCACACCAACCTCTTTTACATGCATGAGTGACTAATTCCACAACGCAAACTACTGCTACTTTGTCTCGGTTTCTCTTTTCTATCTTTACCAAAAATTCAAGCCATGGTGATGAAAACACAAATGTAAATCAGAAAAAAAAAAAAAACATAATATAAACATTTCATGAAAGAGCAACAACAGAAAAGACTCCCCAAAGCACTGCGCCGCAAAAAAAAAAAAAACTTCAATACTGGAAATACTTAAAGAAGACATTGGACATTACTGTACTATCAGTGCAAATAATTATACATTACTGCTAGCATAACAACTACAACCAGTAATCCCCACAAACTGAGATACAAATGACATTTTGCATCATGTATGTTCTGTAACAGCTGCAATACATTAGATACCTCATTAGCTACGCTTCAAACTTAATTGGAAAAATGTTAATGAGTAGGCTTTAGCAGTACAGAAAGCTGCATTTTATAACTTTAAAAAAAGAAGTTAAGCATCAACTTGCTCCTTTGCCAAATAATTCTCCAGTTTTTTACCCACGTGTCACAAGTTCTTGTTTTTATAAATCATTTAGTGCAAAGAGAATCCAAGAGTCTAGATTCCTGCATGAACGCTTGTATTATTTGTTGTGGAAAAATGTTTCCACAAAACAGTTGCAATATTCTCTAACAGACTTGCTTAACTTGCTCTTCAGTTTCAGTTTAAGCTCAGAGAACAGAAAACCCAAACAGAGGGAAGATATTTGGTAATGTAAACCTATTTTTTTTTTTTTATATATAATTAATAAATTTTTCTGACCATTCTGTTTCATGAAAACAAATAGCAAATTAAATACTAAAAAAAACAAAAACATACATCCCTCTTCTGTGGGAGTTCACTTGAACTTAAAGTGCAACTAAAAACGAGCCATAAAAGATGCTTGTAAAACATGTTGGCAACCCCCGCCTTTAGAAACAAAGAAAATATAACACTCACAATGTTTGCAGCTTATGGTATCAAATGATCAGCATGTTGAACAATTTTTTCTATGAACAGTGATGGTCTAATTTTACTCTTAACATCTGAAAAGCCCTTGGGGTGGATAAAGGGGCAAAGAATACAGGTTTTCTGAAATTATGTCTTTATAAATGAATATCCTAGGTTATTAAGTAACCTAAAATAGATTTGATTGCGATTTTTTTTTTTTTTTTTTTACCATAAATCAAAATAAAATAACTCAGACACATCTGGCTAAAAGATGCTGTTATGGAATTAACATAAGAGATTATCTATTAGTAGAGGCCTAATATTTTAAAGATTTCAGAGTACAAAACTGACAGTGTTCCCAAAGCTGAGCTTCATAACAAGAACAAATTGATTTGTGTGTGAAAACTTCGGGGAAGACTGTGTGCAACCTTTTTGCATGTGGGCCTTCATGAATATGCAGAGCATAAGGTTTTAACCAAACTGTGACAATTCACTGCTATAGGATATTCAAAGGGCTTAAGAGTAAAATCTTACTTTAGCATTTTTTCAAACCTCAGACTCCTTGTAGGCAATTTTCCTCTATATTCAGCATCTCCTTTGTTTACCCGTCTTTCATTACTAGACGGAGTGATTAATCCAGGTGTGTCTGGATTATGCCGTCATGGTTACTGAGGTCAGACACACCTGGATTAATCAGTCTGTCCAGGAATGAAAGCCAGGAAACACAGGAGCTGGCTGAAGCTCAGAATGAAGGGGAGTTGGGCGTACAGTATAGCCCATAGAAGAGATGGGAGTCAAAACACCCATATATTCTGTGTGCAGTTTAGCTCTTCCTAATGGAACCATCTTACATCATGTTATATCAGAAAAGTACAAAAAACATAAGATTATGTAGTCAAGGTGCTATTAACTTAAAAAAAAAAGAACATTTATAAAAGATAAAAGGGTGAAAACTTCACGTAAGGTACAAAACTATTATTGTTATAATTGGCAAAGAAGCAAAATGATTAGCAAGATCCATAATTACATTCAGAAGATGGACCCCTTACAGACAGACAGACATATTTGTAGATGGGCAGTTTCTGCAAGTGCATTAATTAAATCTGAATTGATATTGTTAGATTTTTCATTTATAAAAATATGTGAACTGTGTGAATAGTTACTGAAAAAAGGACAAAGTCTTTTTTTTTTGTATTATTTTGTTTGACGACGTAGAAAGAACAGCCCATATTTCGCCAGCAAGCAACAATTTCACAACTACATACGTATAACAAAACACCTTTGTTATCTTTTTTTTCCATGTTTCTTTTTTTTTTTTTTTGGCTAGACTTCTTAAATCTTAACACCACACTAGATAATTATGCTCTAGCCGCCAGTAACCACATTTTATAGTGATGACATACTTAGAGTTTTAGGAATCAATGTAACAACAATCCATGGAGGTAAGGATGTGTGTTGAAGGCTGTTTGAATTTGATTTTAGTACTTGTGCACACACACTGTCATACCTAACCTACAAAACACTAACATTTTCTAATTAAACTACAAGCCTTTTCTGATTATTCACAAAGACAAGGTAAAAATCTTTTAACTCTATATACACAATGTCTGAAGAAGATAACTGAGAGGTTCCTCCAACAAGGCAAAGCATTCAGAAGGTGAAGACTTGAAGGGTGTGGCTGTGGAAGCCTCTAATCAGGCCGGTTTCCTTCTGCAAGCACAGGCACATAAAAACAGAACGATGAAGCAGATATTGAAGTTTTATACGTTTTGTTATTCGTGACTCATATTGTCTACAGAGAGATATCAAATTTGAAAGAATGCAACCAGGAGCTTTCAGAAGTAAGCTTACCCTTTATTTATCCTGCTGTGATTCAATTACATCATAACTGGAGCCCTTGATGGCTGTTATAGTTCTGAAGTTTACGAAGCGTGCTTTGTCTATCTTCAGCTGAAAAATGCAAAGTTAGAGACAATGAATTCAACTTATTTCACCATAGCATGCACTTTTACCTTGGCCTAAAAAGACAAGTGACATGCAGAGCCTCTAGACGATAACAAGTGAGAGAAACTGCTGTTTCTTCAACCTGAAACCTGCTCTACTGGTCTGTTAACTTTTTTATCTAATTTATGATGGAAAGTTTGGTGAATAATTGTCTCTTATTCATGAAAACTACTTGCTCTTAACAAGCGATTCTTTGGAAAACATTACACTTTGTCCTACTCAGTTTAATGTCCCCTACTACTTACATTTCACCATCATTTTATCTTTTTCTTTTCCTTAATTATACTTTCTCCCATAACTGAGAGCATAAGCAGCCTGTCTACCAAGATTCCAGTCATATCGTTCCTGAAATGACCAAAGTCAAGGGTGTGGTAGAAAGTAGGAGACAGGAACTATGAGCCTGAGAGATAATTAATAAAAAAATAAAAATAAAAAATAAAAAAACACCAATTTAAGCAGGGCCATTCCTCATCTTAAACCATCATTTTTGCAGTATCCAGCTTATGGTTTAACACAGTAACTTAAATTACCAAAACTTTGACACAATAAATGAAATACATGCCTCCCAATCACTTACCACTTACATTTTATTTAGATTTACCTTTTTTGTGAAGGTTTGCAAAAACTTATCAGACCACAAGTTGTATAGCAGCTTTGAGGCTGCAGTCGTGGCTTCGTTGTCAGGCCTATGATAAGCAGAGGGATTTAATAATTAAGGAGACAAAGCAATGTTTACCAATTCTGCAAAAAGAACTGGGTAAAAGAAGAAAACTCACCCTTTTTCACTCATGTCTATCAGCACAAAAACTAGATCCTTAGCAATAACTTTCTTGCTGACCTCACTTTCTACCAGCAACAGTCTATTGATTATGGAAGCAACAGTTGCAACAATTTCAGGTTGAGTTTCCTCTCTCCAATCAGGACTGCGGAACAGCTTTATAAGGTCAGGCAAAGTTTCCTTTGCTACAAAGGAGAAATTGTGAAGCATTATAAATCAAATGTATGACACAGAGTGTGGTCAATGTATGCTCCATTAAAACACTGGTGCATCTTATTAAATGTTTAAAAGTTTGAAGGATCAATAAATCCATTAAATAATGTGATTCAGACATTCACTCTAATAAATTAGATGAAATAAAATGTCAATGTACTTTACGGAATATTAATGTAACACTTTATTATGGCTTATTTTGTATAAATGGACTCTATGCCCAACTCCACTGCTTCCTGAACTTCAAATTTAATGCAGGAAATGATCCTTGTTGAAAAAGATGCTTCTTACCCATCTTGGATTGCAAATTGGGTTTGCGAGACAAGTTATCCAAAAGAGAGAAAGAGGTCTTCCTAAGAGCTTTGTTAGGGGACTGAAACAGAAAGGGTAGGAGTAACTCAGACCCAAGCTTTTTATACAAAATCTCACTCAGAGCTGCAGACCCCTGGAACACAAGACAATGAATAAATGTCAGATGAATTTTCATTTCACTGAGGCTATCCATACTGAAATCACACAAACAGTGAGATGCCACATCAAACTTTAAATTTATTTTGTTTCCAAAACATCAACAATTCCCTTTATTACCTCTTTGCTTGCAGTGAGGTTTTGCAAGGCTCCACAGCAGGCCACCAAAGTGGCATCATTCTTGGATGTTCTTAGCAGAGACAGATAGCCATCCACGGCTTTAGAATCAATCAACCATTCGGCCCCCGAAGGTTTGCTGTTTATTTGTGGTGAGTCCGAAAACAACTAAGCAGAGAGAGAAAAGAGTTTAGGAAATAAATGGTGGCCATCATGATTTGGTGAAAGTTTCTTAGGTAACCCACCGTGTTTTGAGCTTTTCTGCTTCTGGGGCTGAAGCATCCAGCATTGGGATTTGTCTCCCTCTCAGACTGGGCCCCTCTTGATTCCATGAATTTCTCGGAAATCTCTGGACACTCTGTCCAAACTTGATAGCTCAAGTTATGTAGGGTGCACATACAGTTTTCCACTGACTATAGGATGAAAGAGGAAGTAAACATACTTCACTTCAACCAAATTAATGTTAAACCCAAAATTATTTACATCTCTGTCAGCAGTGTTGGGCACGTTACTTTGAAAAAGTAATTAATTATAGTTACTAGTTACTTCTCCTAAAAAGTAACTGAGTTACTAACTGAGTTACTCCACAATAAAAGTAACTAGTTACTAGTAAAAGTAACTACTGCGTTACTTCTGCGTTTCTCGCCCCCGTAACCCTCACCACCCGGCCCCCACCTTCTCGCCGTGTGTTTCCAAAGCCAGCTGAATAGAGCAGACGACAAAAACAAGAACCTGCAGAGAGTTTAGCATTTATTGCTCAACTCATTGTAAATGACATCAGGGGGGAACGCCATGTGAAGTTTTTTAACAGGGCATTTAGATCTGGTGAAATTAATAACTGGAACCCCAGTCGGCCTCAGCAGATGGCCGCTCACACTGAGCCTGGTTCTGCTGGAGGTTTCTTCCTGTTAAAAGGGAGTTTTTCCTCTCCACTGTCGCTACGAGCATGCTTAGTGTGAGGGATTGTATTTGAGTCAATGAGTCGATGCAATCAACTGGTTTTCCTTAGATAGAAAACTTTGTATCAATTTGACTGTATGATCTGGTTGAACTGTAAAGTGCCTTGAGATGACATGTGTTGTGAATTTGGCGCTATATAAATAAACTGAATTGAATTGAATGTCTAATTTTGAAATCCTGTGTGTTTGGGTTGTTATAGATACTGCAACATCTATCTATCTATCTATCTATCTATCTATCTATCTATCTATCTATCTATCTATCTATCTATCTATCTATCTTTCTATCTATCTATCTATCTATCTATCTATCTATCTATCTATCTATCTATCTATCTATCTATCTATCTATCTATCTATCTATCTATCTATCTATTATCTATCTATCTATCTATCTATCTATCTATCTATCTATCTATCTATCTATCTATCTATCTATCTATCTATCTATCTATCTATCTAGATGTATACTCTGTGTGTGACATAAAATATGGATCTCCATCCCTGCCACAAAGGCCATCAAATAATGTTTAAAATACAAAAGATGCAGGGGAAACCGTATCTGATGGGGAAACGCAGCTCGACGTAACACCGGTATTTCCATCGGGAAAACGCTGTTTTGCTGCTGGACTCCTCCTCACTCTCCATCTCTCTGTGTGTGCTGTACCTTAACACCCGCCAGCAGAAACACCCACCTAACCCAACTGACAGACGGAATCTCAGTATACATCAGCCATTCTCATCTTCCCCTCTCTCATGACAAGGCGCACACCCCTGGATGACCTAAAAAAATTATCTTTAATGTCTCTTAAACAAAAGTAGCACAAACAATATTTTTTTCTGCACAAATCTGCACTAACGTTGCACTAACCATTCAGTCTATTTGCAGAGTTTTTTGACGTGGGTGGGGTGTCAGCTTCACGCAGCTGCGCACGAGTCCTATCATGAAAAAAGGTTCATTGTGCGACCTGAGTAACGCGCAGTAACGGGGTGTCTGCAATGGTAACTGCGTTATAGTTACAGTCAAAGTAATTAGTTAGATTACTCGTTACTAAAACAAAGTAACGGCGTTAGTAACGCCGTTACTTTCAACGCCGTTAGTCCCATCACTGTCTGTCAGATATATAAAGTAAACTTTTGTTGGATTTTTTTTTTCTAAATATAAATGAAAAAACGATTTCCTTTAAAAAAAAAACACGCCTATATGTCCTTGGTGTACACACACACACAATGCAAATATCCCTTGAACTTATACTGTTTTCCTTCCTTTGGCACCTTCTTCTTCTCTTTTGACTATCTGAGCCAAATCAATCAACCAATCAATCAGACTGCAGGAGAAAACGAGGTCTGTACTGCAGTCGTAATAGCCTACTAATGGTTTGCTGTTAAAATGTGTGAACAATAATAATGATAAGTAAAACAGTACTTTCCATGGAATATTTCTATGAATTTAATATGTACTTGCAGTAAATAACCTAAGCATTTATACAGCACAAGCTTTTTCCCATAAAAAATAAAATAAAATCTACACTAAAACATTCTGCGTAACAGTTGTGAAATATGTTCAACAGAATTAAGGAGAGGTGTAGGAGGAGTCTAATGAGGTGAGTCATCCGAATTCAGCGGAAAAACAAGATAGGGAGAAAAACCTCTCCGGTCTGATTGACAGATAAATTACTTTTGATAATGAAGCCAATAATGTAAACTTTTCTTTAAACGTTTATCTTTCTGTAGTCTCACAAACACTGTATTTCAGGAGTCACTTTCTAGCAGCTCTCCTATTAGGTAGGACAACGTAAAACACAAAACTAAAAGATATGACATGGAAAACATTGCTTGACTAACTGATTAGCTTTTTCCCTACGACAAGGACTTGTTTACACAGTTATTAAATTGGTAACCTTGTAAATTTGCCAAGTGACTGCCTGTAGTTTTTCTGATGCATGAAGGGAAAAATATGCTTACCTTTTCATCTGGGCTATCTTCTGCCACGCAAGACAAAACATGTTTCATTAGAGAGTCAATGAGGTTCTTGGTGTCTCTCATTGTTTTCCTGTCCTTCTCTTTTCCACTGCTCAGGTTCCTACATGTATATCATTAATAACTTATTACAGGGTTACATGTAATAGCTTTAAACAGATTGTCAGACAGCATGATTATACAGTTTAAAATCCAACTAACTTGATTTTCAAAGATAACCAGAATAAATACAGAAGACAGCTTTGTAATTGTTAAATCATCAACTGTAAAAAAAAAAAAAAAAAAAAATAAGTTGTCTGTGACTGCTTTGCTGCATCAGAACTTAGACAACTGGACGAAACTGATGGAACCATGGATTTAACTCCCTAAAAAAGGATCCTGAAAGAGAGCTTCATCAATTTGTAAACTTAAAGGTATAGAGGACGTTCTTTTATTTCCGGGTGGATCATCTAAATAGGTGGTCCTCCTAATTGTCAATCATTCTCATGATATGTTTACGTAAGGCCATCCTACGTGCTCGTCCCGTTAGCTATCTTTTTCTGCACATGCGCACTTTCAGGCTTATATCTGTGTTGAGCTACGGTTTCAGACAGTAATTGAAGCTCACCTTTCTCACTGCGTTTCTTTGAAAATGGGCAACGGTCATAAGAGAAAAAGTGTCTAGGAAGTGTGTGAGAAGCAAAGAAAGGCCTCAGAAGAGGCAGATATATCCTGGAAAGCTTTGCGCAGAGAGCTCTCCTCGCAATGCATTATAGGATTTGCTGTCACAGAGGGCCGCTGTCGCTATCCAACAGCGACGACTAATAAAAATGCTGCAGGCACCGAGTAGTGGAGGAGTTACGTAACCAACGGAGCAAAAAGATCAAGTGATCATCTATACAAACATGTTAACTGGGTTCACTATAAAGTCCACTATATAGTCCACGCTCTAAATGGTGATGGAGGGATTTATGGGTTAGAGGGGACGTTCAGACACATTAAGCATCTGAACGTCCTGTGTATGATCTGGTTAAACTGTAAAGTGCATTGAGATGACTTGTGTTGTGAGTTGGTGCTGTATAAATAAACTGAATTGAATTGAATTAAGTTTCCATGAGCTATGAGAACAGCAACTTTTAAAAGAGCGTGCACGAGGAGCAATGGGGTTGTGCATGCTCTCGCACACGCATTTTTTTTTTTAAGTGGAGAGGAAGGGTCTCTTAAAAAATAACCTGAAGAGAAACTAATTTCAGTGATGTTATTACATCTAGGGATGCACGATATTGGGATTTTGGCCGATATCCGATATGCCGATATTTTAAAACTCATGTAGCCGATAACCGATATCGATACCGATGTTAAAGCTGGACAAAAATAAGTAGTCATTGAAAATAGCAGTTTTGTTTTCCATTTCTGACACTTTGAAAAATAATATACTCAAATATATTTTCATATGCTGATATCAAATTGATTTTTAAAAACGCGGTATCGATCTATTTTACTTTCAAAATCTCGTGAAATTTCATCGTTCTGTTACAAACTCTTGTGAAATTTTGCAAATTCTTGTGAGATTTTGTTAGTAAAATAGATTGATACCGCGTCAATATATCAACATATAAAAATATGGCAAAATTTCGTGAATTTTTGGGGGATTTCGTAGCATAACGATGACATATAGCAATTTTTCATTAGTAAAATAGATTGATAAGGTGTTTTTAAATGGAAATATATCAGCATATGAAGATACTGTAATATTTTAATGTATCAATATTTTTTCCCTTGTCTTTAGAAGTTTTTAAGTCTGTAAAAAAGAAGTTTCTGAGGAAGAAGAAGAAGTAGTATTTTTTTTATTTTTATTTAGACTTTAGAAACTCAGAAGCTGATCAAATATCGGGTTAAATATCGGTGCGGTGGCCGATGTCCGATATTCAGTTTTAAGGCCGATACAGGCCGATACCGATAAGGGGCCGATTATATCGTGCATCCCTAATTAAATCGTTACCAGAAACTGCTGAAATTCAAGAGCAGTCTTTCCAAAAGAGAGTGGAAAAATCAGTTAATATTATTAAGGGGAATTTTTTTTTTTCCTTTAATGCCAGGTTTTTTTAAAGGTTTTTTTTTTTTTTGTCCCTATGACAACCCAAAAATGATTTGAAAACAGTTTTTTTGTATTTAGTCACCTCATCTTTGCCTCATATAATTTCTTCATTGTATAAAATATTTAACTCTAAAATCATCGAAAGACGAAAAAGTATCTAAGTGGGAAAATATGTATCCTGCAACTGTAAAAGAAATATATTTACCTCAGGCAGCCAGTGGCACCAAGGAAGACACTTGGATCTATATTTGGGCAGTCAGCACTATCTGATAAGTTGACAAATGGCACCACCACATTTTTAGTCAGAGAAGGAAGTGCTGTTCTCATTAGTTCTCCCTTCAGTTCATCAGCAGAAGACAGGTTCCAGAGCAGGCCTTACAAAGGAAAAAAATCTCACAATGTTCAATCAATATCTATCCATACATACAGGTGCTGGTCATAAAATTAGAATATCATGAAAAAATAGATTGATTTCAGTAATTCCATTTAAAAAGTGAAACTTGTATATTATATTCATACATTACATACAAACTCATATATTTCAGATGTTTATTTTGTTTAATTTTGATGATTACAAATGACAACAAATGAAAATCTCAAATTCATCATATCAGAAAATTAGAATATTACTGAAGACCAATAAAAACAAAGGATTTATAGAAATGTTGGCCAACTGAAAAGTATGAACATGAAAAGTATGAGCATGTACAGCACTCAGTATTTAGTTGGGCCTCCTTTGGCCTGTATTACTGCAGCAATGCGGCGTGGCATGGAGTCGATCAGTCTGTGGCACTGCTCAGGTGTTATGATAGCCCAGGTTGCTCTAATAGTGGCTTTTAGCTCTTCTGAATTGTTGGGTCTGGTGTATTGCATCTTCTTCTTCACAATACCCCATAGATTTTCTATGGGTTTAAGGTCAGGAGAGTTTGCTGGCCAATTAAGAACAGGGATACCATGGTCCTTCAACCAGGTACTGGTAGCTTTGGCACTGTGTGCAGGTGCCAAGTCCTGTTGGAAAATGAAATCTGCATCTCCAAAAAGTTGGTCAGCTGCAGGAAGCATGAAGTGCTCTAAAACTTCCTGGTATGTGGCTGCGTTGACCCTGGACCTCAGAAAACACAATGGACCAACACCAGCAGATGACATGGCACCCCAAACCATCACTGACTGTGGAAACTTTACACTGGACTTCAAGCAACGTGGATGAAGTGCCTCTCTTCTTTTCCTCCAGACTCTGGGACCTTGATTTCCAAAGGAAATGCAAAATTTACTTTCATCAGAGAACATGACTTTGGACCACTCACCAGCAGTCCAGTCCTGTTTCTCTTTAGCCCAGGCAAGACGCTTCTGACGCTGTCTGTGGTTCAAGAGTGGCTTGACACAAGGAATGCGACAGCAGAAACCCATGTCTTTCATACGTCTGTGTGTGGTGGTTCTTGAAGCACTCACTCCAGCTGCAGTCCACTCTTTGTGAATCTCCCCCACATTTTTGAATGGGTTTTGTTTCACAATCCTCTCCAGGGTGCGGTTATCTCTCTTGCTTGTACACTTTTTTCGACCACATCTTTTCCTTCCCTTCGCCTCTCTATTAATGTGCTTGGACACTGAGCTCTGTGAACAGCCAGCCTCTTTAGCGATGACCTTTTGTGTCTTGCCCTCCTTGTGCAAGGTGTCGACAGAGATGGCAAAAGTACTCACTTTCCGTACTTGAGTAAAAGTACAGATACTTGTGTTAAAAAATACTCTGGTAAAAGTGGAAGTACTGATGAAACTTCTTTACTCAAGTAAAAGTAACAAAGTACAGGCTTGTAAATTTACTTAAAGTATAAAAGTAAAAGTAGAAACCACTTTTTTCATGCCGTTGCCTACATTTTAAATGGATGTCTGCCTATAGGACTAGATCTCCGTTGTATTCATTTTCAATCATCTCGTCGTCCATACTACTATGCTAACGCCACCGCCACCAATGTCCAATGATTTGCCGCGAATTAATACCGCCGAATCTGTCAATTCATCTTGTAGTGGTGCGTCAAATGCAATGTAGATTCCCATCCAATTAGACTGAATTTGGTATTTGTGAGAAAACGGCTCACCAGCTCCCGTCTCACGTCAGAGGAGGAGTAAGCAGATGACTTGCAAAAAGGTGGTAAGAACCAGCGGACAACAAAATTCCAGTTCAAAAGCGTGTAGCGGTTTACTGGTGCAACGGTGAAGACAAAAAAAAAAACAAAACAAACAAAATACTTTCAAATAAAGAAAACAAAACCGGCCATTGCAGGCAATACAAAACACTGACAGCCTCACAGCAAGCTGACTTTAAATATAGTCTCTCTAAGCAGACCTTCAAGAGCAGTTTCTCCAACCAGTCTCTCCAAGCAGACCCCTAAGCCATTGGGAGTGTGCCCCTTAAATAGACCCACCAATAATCAGCCAATTGGGACAGCCCAACTAAACAGGAAGGGAAATCCCCAATAAAGCACAGTTAACATTGTAGAAAAAATGGAAAATGATATATGTTCATAACTACTCGCCACACTCCTCTATCATATGGAATAATAGATTTATTCTACATCGCAATAAGTCATTATTCTACAAAGATTGGATGGAGAAGAATATTTGGTCTATTATACACTTAATGGACACTAATGGTTACATATTAAATTACGAACATTTCTGTACAAAATATCAGTTCCTTCCTCCAAAAGATGAATTTACAAGATTACTTAACGCCTTACCAGAACAATTTATTAATCAGATTCAAAATATAATAATATATCATCCAATTACCCCCAAACTACCCGATTTATCTATTAATGGAATATCAATCACTGATCAAAAATTCAATAACCACACAATTAGAAACTATCTAAATGAAACTTTGTTCCCTGGGAAAATAAATAAAAATAACATTCTTTGCAAATTTGAACAAAAATCAATTGAAATACCAATAACTTTTTTTTTTTAAACTTCCTATACAACCAAAAGTTAAAGAAACTGCCATCTACCCTTCAAAAGAACTACTAAGAATCCGTTTTAATATTGATGACAATAAATGCTCATTCTGTGAAAGTGATGTAGAAACTATAGACCATGTCTTCTATGAATGCAGTCAGACTAAAACATTTTGGAATTGTTTAGAAAGATGGATCAAATCAAAAATTGCACTCCCTAATTCTATTTCTAGAGATATGGTAGTTTTTGGAATACTATTGAAAGACAAAAAAATAGAACTCTGTTGTAACCTAATTTTTTGTTTAGCAAAATTCTTTATTCATAAACAGAGAGTCTTGAGATCCTCCCCTATCTTTAGTATTTTTTTATCTGAATTTAATTTATATTTGACATTTCTTGAATGTATCAAATCTTACAAATACCTGACTGAAATACTAATGGAACTGCCCACTGATGTACATTAATCCTAACATATGAATCCCCTTGTCTTTATGTTATTTTATTGTATTATTAGCATTACTCACGCATTTTTTATTTTCCTCATCAAAGTTACTTTGTATTTTCATTCTGAAATCTGCCTCTACTATGCCTTCTATAGAATTAGAATTCTAATGTTCTTATTGCCCAACTTGTTTCTACCCACCTTGTTTAAATAAAGTTCATTTAAAAAAAAAACATTGTAGAAAAATATATACAGACAATAGCATCATTCATACAAAAACGTATATTAATGAAATAATTTAACCATGCTAACATTACCATTTCACCTACTTATTACCATGCAAACAATTATTACATTCATTGAAATCCCACTTAACACCCCTGCCCCCTAATAGTCTTTTTTAATGCCCTGGGACAATGGATAAGAGACTGGCTCCGATGCGGTACGTGTTTCCACACAGACCAGTATGCTGACGGACTAAGGGAAGAGAATGTGTAATTTGACTGGGAAGTTTTATTACCGACTACGGAATGTATATTAAAGCTGTCGCAGTGGGTACCTTCAGAGTTTGCTACGCTGGTGAGTAAGTAAAGTGTTGAATGAAAGGTGACGTTGTAATTTCGGAACTAGTGTAAATTACCTGGTGAATTGTTTGGAACTGCCGCCGCCATGATGGCCGGTTTGCGGTGCATGCTGGGAAATGTAGTGAAGGATGTGACGCTGTGCGTGATAGACAGCGGCTACACTTTGGGAACAGAGGGGGAAAACGGCTCCGTTTTCACAGTGACGTGAAAAATAATAACGGTAACTCCATTGAAATGATTCAAAACTAAAGTAACGAGCCAATTTTTTAAAATGTAAGGAGTAGAAAGTACAGATATTTGTGTAAAAATGTAAGGAGTAGAAGTAAAAAGTCGCCATAAAAATAAGTAGTAAAGTAAAGTAAAAATATCAGAAAAATCTACTTGAGTACAGTAACGAAGTATTTGTACTTCGTTACTTCCCATCTCTGGGTGTCGATGGTCGTCTTTTGGACAACTGTCAAGTCAGCAGTCTTCCCCATGATTGTGTAGCCTATAGAACTAGACTGAAAGACCATTTAAAGGCTTTTGCAGGTGGTTTGAGTTAATTAGCTGATTAGAGTGTGGCACCAGGGGCCATCAATTTTGAACCTTTTCACAATATTCTAATTTTCTGATATGATGAATTTGAGATTTTCATTTGTTGTCATTTGTAATCATCAAAATTAAACAAAATAAACATCTGAAATATATGAGTTTGTATGTAATGTATGAATATAATATACAAGTTTCACTTTTTAAATGGAATTACTGAAATCAATCTATTTTTTCATGATATTCTAATTTTATGACCAGCACCTGTACATGTTGCAGAAAGTAAAATAATTACACATTAAAGACATACTTATTATATGAGTATTTATTTTTGTATCTTTAAAATAATGTAGTAAACATTCTGAAGTGAGTCAAACAATATATTAAAGTGTCTGGCCCATCACACTTTCATTGTTTGCAATATCACATTAATAAAGGACATAAGGAATGCAATATCGGGTAGGCTACATCTTATGTCCACACCCAGTATACACATTAGGGACTTTGATGGTAAGGATTGCTGCAAGTTTTGTGACACAAACACCAAAGCAAATGTTGGTTAATCGAAATCCATATCATCATCACACCACTGAAAAACAGTAATATAATTTCTCAATACTATGTAGTGCTTTTGAGATCCTAATATAAAGAAGTTTCCTACCTGTGACCTGTCTCTTGGTCTCCGTAGACTCTGTCCTCTTTAGCAGGTTCAGGACCTTAGCTATACCACCATATTTCTGAACTGAAATTTTATTTTCCAGATTCTTGAAGACAAGATTCCTCAGAGCTCCAGAAGCAACCTGGGCTACGTCTGGATTAGAGCTTTCCAGCATGTTGACCAGGGGTGGAATTCCACCAAGACTGAGGACCTACAAAACACAATTGTGAATGACAGTCACTTATGTACTGTAGATCTTTTAAATGCAAACAAAATCCTAATTTATATAATGTTTTTTTTTTATTGAATTTCTCTAAATTAGTGTTGAATTCTAGTCTTTACAGAGAATGTAGTTATCCTAATTTACATCAAGTTTATATAGCCAAGTAAAAATGTAAAAACTGATTTTCATAGGTGACCTGGAAATGCCAGAGAAAATTATTGAAAACCTTCTAGTTTCGAAAAAACAATCAACCAGAAAAAAAACTATACTTTGTTGTGATAGACCAACACAAAGTTGTGCAGGGCTGTAAAGTAGAGGGAAAAGAATACACTGTTTTATCACCCAAAAATTAGGAAGGTGTGGCATATATTGTTAACCGTCCCACCTCGAGCCTAGAGGCCCTAGTTTAGTCGATCGGTTTAGGTGGTCGGCCATTTCTTGGTAGGTTAATGGTTCTACAATATGTATTCCAACCTAAATACAATAGTGTTTGTTGTTGCAATATGAAAAAGAGTTAAAAAAAATGGATATGATTCATTTTGCCAGGAGAATATATAAATATGAAGGGCAGCCATGAACAGCGGATGCTTTTTTTTTTTTCTCATCAGAGGAAAGACTGATCATTCCCTGGATGCTGAACAATGCCAGCCCACTGCTCCCCAAGATGGTGGGCTAAATGCAGAGTGAATTTTGTTGCTATGTACTTGTGACTTGTGGAAATAAAAGCTAGAAAAACAAAAAGGAAAAAAAAGGTCTTTATAAATCTTTAGTACAAAACAAACGCAGCTCCAAGCCAAAAGGAAAATACCTTTTTATGTGTAATTTGTTTCAAGTAAAAGAATGAACGTGGTAAACTCACCTCAGATTTGGCCGACTCCTCATTATAGCAGGTGTGTTGTATGAAGCTGGCCCCACGGTGATTTAAGTTCTCATCAGGCTCTTTCAAGTACTCCACTGCCTCCTTTAGGGTTAGAGCTGAGACATTTGTTGCAGAGTTCACCCTATCAGAACAGGCAAGGGTATTCAACTCTTGGTTGGCAACGAGACATTTAGAATACACAGGAACACATTTTTTGAATTATATTTAAGATAAACTCACAAAGATCTCTGCTCCAATTTGGTAATCTTTAAGGAGCCAGACTTGCCATCAGTCAGAGAGTGTCCAGAAGACATCGGAAAAGTGTGTGTGTGGTTCTCAGTGAAACTCCTATTAATCACCGAACGAGATTCTCTACCACCTAGAAGACTGTTTTGGCTTTGAATAGGCTGCCCTTTGATTTTCTAAAAGAGAATAGCAGTTTACAACATTATTTTGGTATTCCTTTAAAAAATGGACAAAACCGAGAAACAACTGTTAATTACCATGCTAACAGCTGGAACCTTGTGAGGGACATCATCCAAAGCAGGGTCACTGCGACTAAGTTGCAGCCCGTTTAGGTTCTGTGTCAAGGTGGTGGTCATGATTTGCTTTTCAGCTTTGGTGCTGACATATCGTCCTCTGGTATTTTTAGTAGTCAGACTTCGGACCGTCTAAACATTCACATAAAAGGTAAGAAAGAAAAGACAGAAGTTATTTGCTTTGGTCCCAAACAAGTCATATAAAAAAAATCTGAACTCAACTAAGTTTAATCAGCTAAAATTCAGTATCAGACCTAAAACTCCAACAATAAAATTAGGCCTATTCATTCATGAGCTTCCCAACACATTATTAACATTGCCAGAATAAATGGTTCTCACAAACCCAGGTATCAAGATAAAACAGGTTCTGCTGTGTCAGTCAGCGGTGTTTTTGTTTTTGTTTTTTTTTAATAAGCCAGATGCAGCGTCTGGCTTATTAAAAACATAAGGCATATATCTACAACAGAGGGTTAAGGTTAAAACTAAATAAATACATTTTCATGAAATAAATAAATGTAAATATACCACAAATTAAATACATATGTCATTAAATGACCCATGAAATAATTTAATGTAGAATTTATTTATTTAATACAGCAAGATAATATAAATGTACCATCTAATCATGAAATGTAAAATAAATACTAGTGCCATAATATTTCAAATATGGCTTTAAAATTATGATATTACGGTATATAATTAGGTAATTTTTAAAAATACACTCATAATTTAAACATCAAATTGTTTTCAACATGTAATTATTTATTTCATTGTATTAACATGGTCCGCTCATCATTAAATGTTTTAAAAGTAATAAGTTAAACACAACAGGGATTTATGAGAATCATATAGAGACCATAACATCTGACCGGCTGCATTACTTAGAGCAAAACAAGACAACTGCTTCCTGCTTTGCTATTATTCTGAGGCGAATATTTTTTTTCTGGAAAGTGCTGACAACTTCAATGACACTTTTATTTATTAAGTCTAGAATTGGACTTCTGAAGGTGTCTGCATATTTGAGTAGCTCTTCTACCTTGACTGATATTTTTTGGAGAGAAATTTAGTTCCTCTGTTTGTGGATCAGTTTCATTTTTATGGATGCTTTTATTTTGGTGCGTAATGCTGCGAAAATTGAAGGATTTTTACTGATATTTTTTTTCTTTTTGGACACTTTTTATGATGCGTAACCATTAACAACCAGAGAAAGTTGGGATGTGCACCTGAGGATAGCTCAATAACATCTCTAACGCTAAAATAATAATTCAGTTACTTTCACAAGTACCAGCTGAGTTGAAAGAGAGGCGCTGGAGGTGCAGAGAGGGAGCGAGAAGAAGAGAGAGGAGCAGGGAATTTAAGCCATCTCTTCAATCAATAATAATGGTGAAAGGAAGATATTTAAGAAACAAGTTAGAAGAACCTTGAGCACTAGCAAAGACCCAACCAGAAAAGGCAGCATTATGTGTTTTACTGAAACAAATAATGTTGCTAAGCTACAGACACAACAGGGAAATGCATTTGCGGCAATAACTGCTGATTTTAATCACACCTCATTCTCTGGTACAATGCCAACATTCCAACAGTTTATCAGCTTCTGCACCAGATAAATAAAACAGAACAGACCAATATCAGAGATGCATGGTCAACAATGATGAAGAGCAAAGGCTTCAAGCAGAAGGATGTTTAGACAGAGGAAAGTCTGGACAGAGAAAATGAATCGAATACATTCTTATACAGGTTCAATTCAGGAACAAGCTCAGCATCCTTTTCACTTGCTCACAGACACATGGACATACTGCCCTCCTCCGCCATTGACTCTCTTGCTTGAATGTATTTGTTCTCAGCCAAATCAGATGGTGCTGCTCCTTCAACCTTTCCCCTGTCTGTGTCTAGAAGTCAAATAAAGAAGCAACTGGCGAGAATGAATCCTAATAAATTACCAGGTCCTGATGATGTAAACCTCACAGTCTTCACCCTTATTATTAATCTGTATACTTGTTATATTACCTTTTTGTTAAGCAGAGTAGATATATTACATAGTTATCCTTAACATATTGTAACACTATGTGATAATGATAGCCATCTAATTAGGACAGTCAGGTAACAAGAATGGGACATCTCAGGGGCCAGGCTGATAAAGATGAATTTCTTTGTAATCCTATTTATTTAGAAAAAGCCTTTATTTGATTTTTTATTTCTACAGTGCATTTAACAGGGTTCAAACTGACTTAATTTGTGAGAAAATTCAGAAGAATCAGGAGGAGGCATCAGGTGGATAAAACACCACCTCACAAACTGACCACAGTTTGTGAAGGTCAGTGTTGCCAACAAGGTATTATGTTACCGATATATTGCTTCTGACAGTAATAGAGTAACATAATACATTACAAACAAAATTTGGGTCATATTATTACTGCTACTAATGTGTTACATTCTGAGCTCAACGGCCCATGGCCAACAGCCTAAATCAATTGGAGAATAAGTCTTTTTTTTTCTTTGTTGTTGTTTTATAGCAGGAGAAGACTGTTTTATAACGACAGCATAAGAAGCTCCAAATGATGAGCAATTGTAAAGCAAACATATATAGATGTACAACATAACAGAACATATTTCAAAAGAAAACATCTCCACTAATTAAGAGTAGAGTCCCTTAGTAGTCCGCTACATTTGGTGTTTGCAGCAAATGCCAAAAAACGCAGTCTTCATGATTTTCATTAACTTTGTTTTGGAGTGTGATGTCTTCCTGCATCATCTACTGGGGTAACAACATCAGAGTAAATGACATAAAAAAGCTAAACAAGCTATTAAAGAATGGTTGTTCTGCTCTAGAAAGCCCTCTAAAATATCTGGAGATTACTTCACAAAGAAGAAATCTTAATAAAGAGAAGAACATTATGGACAACAGCCAGTATTCTGTTGAGAAGATTGTTAAACAACAGTGTCTTCAATAAGAAGCTTCTCTAGAACTGGTGAAAGACAGACCCCTAAAGAAAATTCCTCCTGCCTGCAGCTACCATCTCGTTGCAAAAACTGCCCATGAGTTAGTGCAACAATTTCGATTTGAGACTATTAAGGTATCTTTGAATTGAATTTACCACAAATTCTAGGTTTGCAACAAGATTTTCTATCATTTGATCTCAAATAATTAAATATGTTAATAAAAGTGCGTGTCAGTGTTCACCAGTTGGCAGGTAATGCTGATCCTGTCTGATGTCTGTGGCAACCTACTCCACACTGCACCACAGCCTTTGCCTTAAGGAGTTTAGGGATTTATGATTATTTTTTGCCATTGCGCATAAGGATAGGGACTTCATTTGTCTCATAGGTTGGTGGAGCGTTCACTGCATTAGATGATTAATAGTACATTCAGTCAATCATCCACACACTCACACTGAGGGTGGTGAGCTATATTTCGGCTTTCAATGTCATGGTGTCTTTGAAAGCCAAACCCAGGCTTCAACCATCAACCTTTTGATTGCAAGACTGCTACATCTGACACCACTGTCACCCTGATTTCTTGCACAAAGTTTCCTGAATCTGATCTCTGCCTGCTCCCATCTTCCATGCTCCAAAGTTCGATTAGGGTCCGTGAATACATTTTTAGACTAAAACACCATTAAAAGAAACATTTCTAACTTTCAGTGTATGTGAACTAGTGATTACAAATTCATTTCAAATCCTTGAAGAGGATTAACCGATTATTTTTTTTATTTGATCCTTGAGTCTTGGCCCCTGTGTACATAAGTAGGGAAAGGGAAGAGTGTACAGTTCCCATTTCCACTCTCCTTCGCTCTATATGCATATAAGCTCCTAAACAGGTATGGAAAGAAGTCCTTTTGGTTTAAAAAAAAAAAAAAAAAAGTAATAGAGTGAGGGCTGGGTGGGTTGGAGCCAGTTTTATCCATGGAAAAGGGAAATGCGATCATAGCAACCATAATGAGATCACCTACAGGTGCTGGTCATAAAATTAGAATATCATGAAAAAGTAGATTGATTTCAGTAATTCCATTTAAAAAGTGAAACTTGTATATTATATTCATACATTACATACAAACTCATATATTTCAGATGTTTATTTTGTTTAATTTTGATGATTACAAATGACAACAAATGAAAATCTCAAATTCATCATATCAGAAAATTAGAATATTACTGAAGACCAATAAAAACAAAGGATTTATAGAAATGTTGGCCAACTGAAAAGTATGAACATGAAAAGTATGAGCATGTACAGCACTCAGTATTTAGTTGGGCCTCCTTTGGCCTGTATTACTGCAGCAATGCGGCGTGGCATGGAGTCGATCAGTCTGTGGCACTGCTCAGGTGTTATGATAGCCCAGGTTGCTCTAATAGTGGCTTTTAGCTCTTCTGAATTGTTGGGTCTGGTGTATTGCATCTTCTTCTTCACAATACCCCATAGATTTTCTATGGGGTTAAGGTCAGGAGAGTTTGCTGGCCAATTAAGAACAGGGATACCATGGTCCTTCAACCAGGTACTGGTAGCTTTGGCACTGTGTGCAGGTGCCAAGTCCTGTTGGAAAATGAAATCTGCATCTCCAAAAAGTTGGTCAGCTGCAGGAAGCATGAAGTGCTCTAAAACTTCCTGGTATGTGGCTGCGTTGACCCTGGACCTCAGAAAACACAATGGACCAACACCAGCAGATGACATGGCACCCCAAACCACCCCAAACCTGTGGAAACTTTACACTGGACTTCAAGCAACGTGGATGAAGTGCCTCTCTTCTTTTCCTCCAGACTCTGGGACCTTGATTTCCAAAGGAAATGCAAAATTTACTTTCATCAGAGAACATGACTTTGGACCACTCACCAGCAGTCCAGTCCTGTTTCTCTTTAGCCCAGGCAAGACGCTTCTGACGCTGTCTGTGGTTCAAGAGTGGCTTGACACAAGGAATGCGACAGCAGAAACCCATGTCTTTCATACGTCTGTGTGTGGTGGTTCTTGAAGCACTCACTCCAGCTGCAGTCCACTCTTTGTGAATCTCCCCCACATTTTTGAAGGGGTTTTGTTTCACAATCCTCTCCAGGGTGCGGTTATCTCTCTTGCTTGTACACTTTTTTCGACCACATCTTTTCCTTCCCTTCGCCTCTCTATTAATGTGCTTGGACACTGA